GAATAGGTAAGAGTATGGAATGAGGACTCTGGTTTTGTCTTACAATGTTGGGACTCTAGAGAGGTTGATATCATTACAAAGGCTGTGGGTAGACTTGTCATTGATAACCTGAAGAAATTATGGGGAATGTGTTCCCGTGGCAAAGAAGGCTATCTCTTGGCAGGACAATGGTGCTAAGTTTTCAGTGCATATTTCTAGAAAGTTCCAGTCACCACTCAGTCACTCATTCTACCCCACTAACAACACCTTTGCCAATCTTCTAACTTTGTATTTGACCTCCACCAGCACTGAACAACTTCCATTTGTCTTTCAGTTCTGTACCATCCCAACTTTATTCTTTGTCTTCTCAACAAACTGGTAAGACCATAAACTGGTCAGCCACACTTCACATGGTTGGAGGTCATGGTTGGTGAGGCTTGCTAATGTGTCCACAGTCCAGTTCTTCCCTTGTGCATACAAGTAATAAAAAAATGTAATGGCTAAGTCAGAAAAATGCAAAGTACTGAATTAATTCTTTGAAAACAAGGTGAATGACAGGATCCAAAAATATCTCAGCAGCCTAGAATGATGGAGCACATTTAATAAGATGAAATTTAGTAGGGTTAGATGGAGTCTGTAACCCCCCTCAGCCTGCCAATTTAGTTAGCATTGTCCCAGGAACATGTGATACTGGAAGTAACCATGCCAACTGAGCAGACTTTTATCTGGAGTTCACAAAGGACTCTGATGTTTGAACTTGATATTGGGAGAGGAAGCTAGGAAGAATGAAGAATCCATCTTGACTGAGCTATGTGGAGGAGAAGAGAAGACCGGGGAGTTAGGGTGACGTCCTTGATCCTGAGCACCCTCTCTCCCCTCTCTCATTGAATCTTGGGTGTTGCAGGTGGTGAGAGACTGCTGATGCCTGATGGGGTGGGCTGGTGAGATGAGATAGGCCACCGAGCCACACCAGGCAGGATGGTGAGCCAGGGCCACATACATGCCAGGCACCCAGCACCCTTTGTTCTCACTCCTCCATTCCTGAAGGCAAAGGACTTCATGTTAATTATCCAACTATTGACCATTTTGTTTTCCCCTCCAGGAGAGGGGGGTGGTGTCAAGAGAGATATACCCATTATTTTCCTATAGCCAATAAAACAGGCAGCCTGCATTCCAAGTGAACTATCCCCCTGTTACCTTTTTTTTTTTTTTTACTGCTTATACACTTGTTCCAATTAATATAAAAGAAAAGCCCACAGCCACCAAATTCTGACTGGAATAACTAATGATGCTGTCCTGGAGGTGAGGACTGGGAAGAAATCTTGCCTTTAAAGAGATAGCAAACCGTTTCTCGTCAATAGAAACTGAAGTGTAGGGTGGGGAAAGGCCATGGAAGAGAGAAAAGTGTGTCATCATCACATTTAGAAGGACTCATAAAGGAAGCGTGAACCACAGAAAGGTGCAAGCTAGGTGCGGGCTGGAAAATCTGGAATCAGAGATTCTGAGGCTTCCTGCTATTTTAACCCATGTCGCTGTTACATTGCCTGTTGACCGCACACCAAGGCCGTTCGGCTGTGCCATTGCTAAGGCTGGATGCTGCTTTTAGCTTTGCCCCGGGATTGGAATGCTTCCTGGAAACAAGCCCAGTTATGCATCAGATCCTATAAGTGATGATTTATTATTTTTATTATTATGGCCAGGACTAATATTGTCATTATTATTGTCCATGAGCTCTATTACAAGTGGGAGCTTTCTTTACAAGTTTGTACTTAGGCTCCAAATATCAGCTTCACAAAGTGCTGGAGAGGAGAGGTCTGGCAAAGCAGTAATTGATACAGAAGAAATCTCAGGGTTTGAGTAGGCTGCTAGCTTCATACGAATCAACAGTCAGAAAAGCCAGTGTGATCTTGGGCTACATTAAAAGTAGGGTGTTGAAAATGAGGGAGGCCATCTGGAGATTGTATTCTGTTCCAGGCACCCTATTTGAGGGAGGACATTGGCAAGCTTGAGTGCATCTAGAGGAGGGTTACCAGGATGTTAAAGGGCCTTGAGAACATATCAATAAGAAGATTGATTGAAGGGACTGGCATGTTTAGGAGAGAGGAGACAAGAGGAGAGGAGAAAAGAGGAGAGGGGAGGGGTACATGTCTTCAAGTGTTTTGCTTGGCCCTAAGGTGCAGAACACTGGATGCAATATAGTCGAATTAAAAGAATACCTGATCTGGCATCATTGGACCTAACTTTGAGTCCTACTAGCTGCAGGATCATAGTCGTTAGTTCAACTGTTTGAGCCTCATTTTCCCTCATTTACAAAATGAAAAGGCAGACTCTTAGAGATAGGAATCTAATAACCTTATGAACCAGAAATAAAGACTGGAAGCTGACCAGAGTGTACGGATTGGATTAGAGTAACCCCTGCTATCCAGGTATGGGTTGAACTCTGAAGTCCCTTCTGGCTTAAACACAGTGCGTTTATGCCCTAACTAGAAAACTGGTCTAACCTTACATTTGACTTCATTCTTCCACAAAAATTTGTTGCTGTAGATCTATAATTCAAGGGTAGCATTTTATCAAGGAATATGAATTGCAAAATACGAGGCCATGAGGGAATTTTAATCTACATTTTGGATCAAACAGATGAGCTGGTATAGCTGACTTCAAAGTAGCAGCTGTGCAGTCCTGGTTACGTTTTTATTAAAGGACTTAATTTTTCCTGAAGACACACTTAAAAGAGATAGATTTGTTCCCCTACTTTTCCTATGAGATGTATCTGGGAAAACAACTTGTACTTTTCAGAAATTAGAAAAAAAAGAAAAAAATAAAGAAGTTAGAGCCAAAGGTATAATATTCTCACCACTGACAGTTTGGCATTGGTTTTGCAACATACGCCTTTAAGATTTTTTTAATTTTCATGGTCAATGGTTAATTTTTTCTGCCCACTTCAGGAAACCCAGGTGGGCACTTATATTTCCATTCCAACACAGGGTGGTGAATCATTAAGCAACTATAAGTAGGCTAATTAAAAAGAAAATGAGAAATACATTATAAGTGGGTGGAAATTGTGGAAGAGTAGCCTGGAAATTATGTGGTTTTTCTCTCATTGTGTCAAAGTTCTTGGGACTTGGGAGAGGAATCATGGAGAAAGGAACAGGGTACCAGACTGAAGGTCAGAAAGACTTTGTGTCAAACCCTGCCTCAGACACTTACTAGCTGTGTGACCCTAGGCAAGTCACTGAAACCTCTTTGTGCTTTATTTTCCTCAATGGTAAAATGAGGGAGCTGGATTTGATGGGGTCTAAAAGACCATTCCAGCTCTCAGTCAAATCCTCCCTGTCAATTCAGTTCAGTTCAACAGGTCAAGTTGTACCCCAATTTCCTATTCCTCCTCAGAAGCAACTAGTGGCCCAGTTGATAGGGTATTGGGCCTGGAGTCAGGAAGTTCAAAAAATGGCCTGAGATACTTACTAGCTGTGTGACCCTGGGTGAGTCACTTAATCTCTGTCTGCCTCAATTTCCTCAACTATAAAATGGGATAGTAATAGCACCTACCTCCCAGGTTTGTTGTGAGAATCAAATGAGACAACATTTATAAAGAGTGCTTAGCACAGTGCCTGATACATTGTAGGCACATTGTAGGTACTCTCCTTCCCTACCTCAAAAATAAAGGGGTTGGGCCTCTGAGGTTCTTTTTGCTTCAGATGACAAATACACAGAGTGGCCAGGTGGGGCAGTGGGTAGAGCACTGCGCCTGGAGGCAGAAAGACATGAATTCACATCCTGCCTTTGGCATTTACTGGCTATGTGATCTTGGCCAAGTCACTTGACCTCTGTCTGCCTCAGTTTCTCCAACTGTAAAATGGGTATAATAGCACCTACCTCACAAGGTTGTGCATAATATGCTTTACAAACCTTAAAGTGCTACATGATGCTAGCTATCATTATTACTGGTGGAGTGCTCTGACTGCTGTCTACCTGCCATCTCCCACAAAGGCCATGAGACATATCCATCTTCTTTTCCCATCAGAGAATTCTTTGATGTCATTTTTTATTCCATTTCTTACATCATATATTTAGCATTGGAGAGAACCTTAGGGGTCTTTGTGTTTAACCCCCACATTTTACAAATAAGGAAATTGAGGTCCAGAGACCTTTTGGTGATTTGCCTGGGGTCACACAGCTAACAAGAATTTAAGGCAGGATTTAATCCAGGTCTGCCTAATTCAATGCTTTATCTACTATCCCATGATGAGGTTCTCATTGGCTGTGAGTGGAGGCCTTCTCATACATCTCCATTGCCCTCTGTGTGATATTTACATCGAATTCTTCAGAGATTGCTGTATTACAGGTACTGCTGCAACACAGCAATGTTAACAGAATGTTGGTATTAAAAAGATGGACTTTTTCTTTCATGGGAAGCTTGAAGTCATTAAAGGAACTTTGCAATTTCCCCTCTCACCCCCTTCTCAAAACCTATATGAGAGATACTGTGGATTTAAAGTTGATAATACTTGGCAAATGACTTGGATTTCTGAGGCAAGGGAGAGGAAGAATCTGAAGGTGAAGCTTGGATAGGGCCACCATTATCAAAGATCAAAAAGTTGGAGGAGGGGAACATATTGTGTTCAATGTCAGACATGTTGAGTTTGAGGTGCCACTGGATTCTCTAGTGGAGAAAGCCAATATAAAGTTGAAATTATAGGGCTGAAGTTCTGGGGAGAGAAGGGAGTACAGATATACATTTGGTAGTCATCTTCATAGACAATAATTTAAACCATGGGAGTAAATGAACTTCCCAAAGGAGAGGATGTAGAAAGAAAAGGAGGGAGTACCTAGGACAGAGCCTTGAGGGTTTAAGGGCCATAAGGGAGATAAAGAGCCAGCAAAGAACAGAGAGGACACATAGTCAGAGGTATAGGATTAGAACTATGAGAGTTTGATGCCATGGAAGCTAAGGGAGGAAAGGATATTAGGAAGAAAGGGTCTCCAGTGGCAAATACTTCAAAGAAAACAAGTCTTTCTCTTCAGAAAAATGGAAGAGTTCCATTCCAGTTGACAGACGCCCCTTTCCATTTTGTCCTTATCACCATCTCCACTGGTCGTTCCGGGACACAATTCTCATTCTGTTGGACTTCTTCCCAGTGGTGAGAATGAGTGTCTGAAGGAGAAAGAATCAGGAATTAATCATAGTTAATTACACCATCCTCAGCTAAACTCTTACTACATTGAGACTAGTAGGGAACCCATTCCATAGCTATACTATGAGACAGAGAAGATTGACCAGCAGGTTGAGCTCCAAGGACAGCTATGCCAGGTCAAAGGGAAGAGCATTAGGAGAAAACTCCAGGAGGGAACAATAATAATTTTGATTGATTGTCATATAATAATTTTGTATGAGTTGTTATATGATTAATAGTATATAAACATTTGTTAATAATGTTAATAGCTCATACAACTCTTTTAGGTTTTCAGAGTACTTTCTTATTTAATCCCTAAGAAAACCTTGTGAGGTAGTTGCTGTGATTATCTCTATTTTACAGATGAGGAAACTGAAGCCAGGAGAGATTAAGTGACCAAGGGTCATACAGCTGATGGAAGAAACTTAGAAGCAAAAACTCAGGGAACCCTTAATGCCAGAGGTGTTTGATGATCACTGGGAAAGTGACCCATTGCTTGAGCTATTGACTGGCAGAGATACAAATATAGGAAGCATGCTGAATAATCCCTGTAACCTAGAGTAAAGTCTCTGATTGAGGAGTATCTAGCAACTTCCACCAGAAAATAGGGTTGAGGGAAGAAAAGCTAAGCCTAAGACAACAGTTCGCTGACTTGCTCCTTCTTTTTTTTTTAAGAGCTTGACACCTGCAATTAAGAATCTCCTGCTCAGAAAATGGTAGGCTTTCTAGATGATACTCAAATAAAGCAAAACAGGGGAAGCTTCTATGAATCTTCTACTTCTGCCTTTTTTTCCAAAAGACTTAAGTAGGAGAGCACAATACCCTGGTGGAAGAATTCAGAGCATCTGGCATTGTCTCTAGGAGACATGTAGTTATGAGCCCTCTCTAGTCCTTCCCTTTATGTGTGTCCACTCTTCCAAGAGCCTGAGGGTTTCCCCCTGCCCCTGTCCAAGTTTCTTTCTTCCTATCTCTCCATACTTTCTCACTTGATGATCTCATTAGCTCCCATGAGTTCAATTATCATTTCTCTACAGATAACTGTACCCTCAACTGCTGTCTTCCCACTTCCCCCAAATCACCTTGTATTCATTTTATATATTAAACACACTCACATATATGTGTTATCTCCCCCATTAAGGAATAAGTTCTGGGAGGGCAGATTGTTTTTAAGCTTTTCTTTTTATTCTCAGTACTTAGCATAGTGCAGACACTATGTAGAAAGTGCTTAATAAATGCTTGTTTATTGATTTTTTTTACTGTCTATATCTGTGGTAGGATTATAAAGGAAATATTTGTATTTTCTACCATGCCATTTCAGTAAATGTATTTACTTTGAGTTAATTGCATCCTCTTGCTGACTATTGAAAAGGGAACATGTTGGTGGGTGCTTGTGAGATATAATTTTGAGAATACAGATCCACGGAGTAACTTGAACCTTGAAGTATTTGTGACTTAGAGTAGTCTGGAAGACCCAGCCTAAGAGGTAACCCAAAGGGGCATTGCATATTTTTATTACTGTTACCACCATACCAATCGATAGGAGAGATGACCTTTGTCAATAGCTGATATGTTCTACCACTTAGGCTGTTTCTGCCTTAGGCTGACCATTCAGAATAAAATGTGGAGGCAGAATTGGCTAATTATGAGGTTAGAAGTGTGTGTCTCTTTATTGCCCCTTTTTCTAGGTATAAAAAACCAGCTTATTCTAGGCATCAGGGAAACCCTGACCATCCATTTTTCACTTGTAATCTCCCCCAAAGGTCCATGTTTTTTTTTACAATGTTCCAAAAACCCCTGGGTTTTATGCAAACCAAATTTAGGATTACTACACCATAGTACTTTTGTTTGGGGACCAAAGGTTGAATTTGTGGGTTTCTTTCTTTCTTTTTTTTTTTAGCATTCCACCTTAAAAATTCTTTTGTTGAGACTCCATGTTAAAGAGAAACTCCTACTGGAACACCTGAGAACATCTATCACTGGGAGTTGCCTGCACTTACCTACTGTAAGATAGGCTGCCTTTTTCTGGGAGAGATCACCAGTATAAAAATAAAGACCAAAGAGATGCTCCATCTTCCAGTCAGATAATAGCAGCTTGTTGTCACTAAAAAGGATGCTATATGTTCCATTGATGCTACACAGCCAGATGGGGAATTTTGGAGTCTTCAGCATGCTTCCAACCTGGGGTGGGGAAAGCAAGAATCTAAAAATGTACTTTCTTACTTTTGAAGTTGCTTTGGTTTCGCTACATTAAATATAGATTTTACTTCTTTTCATCATTATGAGGAAGCACTTATTAAACACCTGATCTTACTTGGTTGCTATGCCAGGTGATACACAAAAAGAGTCATCTCTTAAAATAAGGACTCAACCACTGAATGAATATGTCTCCAATGGTGTTAATCTTGAGTAATGATCTTTTAAAGCACCTCCTATATTCCAGGTACTGGGAATGCAAAGAGAAAAATCACTTATAGATTTAGAGTTAAAGGGGTTCTTGGAAACCAGTGAGGTGACCCTCGTTTTACAGATGCTGAAACTGAGATACTCAATTTAAGTGATTTGTCAAGGTTAGGCAGCTAGTGTATTAAGTGGGATTTGAATTCAGTACAGTATGATGCCTCTCATTAATATGTATGCCTCTCCTCCACTTCTCTCTGTGCGTGTGTGTGTGTGTGTGTGTGTGTGTGTGTGTGTGTAGAGAAGGGATTAGATTAGTAGTATACAATGTCTTTGTATTTGGGGAAAACACATTTTAAGGAGGCAAAATAGGACTCATTTCAGGTCTGATGCTTTTTAAGGTAGCATTTTATTTGTTTTTAAAAGTTTGATCACAACATTTTGTTTTTCACACCAGAGCTATTTCCCAATCTATCGCTCTCCTCCCCCACTATTAAAACCTTTCTTGTAACAAAGAATAGCAAAGAATAGCCCTCACAGTGACTTTATATGACAGTGCATGCAATATTCTGTATCTGTGATCTCCCCTGTCTCTACCAAAAGGGAGAAAGTCTATGTTTCATTCTCCAGGACTGAGATTGAATATTATAATTATGTCAAAATTTGAAAACTGCACTGAAAGGAAAATTTATGTAGTTTTAATCATTGCACATGCCATTTTCTTGCCTTTGCTTCCTTCGCTTTGTGTCAGTTCATGGAAATCTCATTGTCTTAATTCCTCATATTTGTTGATTCTTATGGCACAATAGTTTTCTATTATATTCTTCTTCTTTTCCCCCTTCTCCTTCTGCTCCTCCTCTTCCTTGCCCCCCTCGTCCTCATCCTCTTCATCCTCATTCTTCTTCCTCTTCTTCTTCTTCTTCTTCTTCTTCTTCTTCCTCTTCTTCCTCTTCTTCTTCTATCCCTACTGGTATAGGAAATACTTGAGAAAACTCCCTCTATCCAGGCAGGTCATCACCTGCTCTGCAATTCATACTCTCAGAGAGTTATCTGGGGATCTGACAGGTTTAATCATTTACCGAGGCTCATATAGCCACTAAGTGTTATAGGCAGGAATTGAACTTAGACCTTGTTGATATTGAGGCCAACTCTCTATTCACTACACTGCATTAACACTGGTGGGTGGTGTTATGGGAAGTACACTATCTTTTCTGCTCCATCCTTACTTTTGGAAGGGATAGAACTGATAGAACAGGTATCAATTGTCTTCAACCATTCTCCCCTCTGTCTTTCTCAATTTGGAAGCTAGGGGTTTAATTAGCCATAGACTGTTAAAATAGTTAGCTTACTTTTTAACCTCAGGTCCAAATGGTTCCTTCCATTGCTATTTCTGTGGAATTTATATCAAAAGAAAAGATATTAACATGATAGAAATAGCTCAGAGCCTCCAGTTAGTAAGTCCCTAAAATTCAAGGAGAGGTTTGGCTCTCTGCCCTAATTGAAATCTTATAGAAGATTTAACCATGAAGAAGTGAAGTTTAACTGATATGAAAAATAAAAGCAGAATTATTTCACTATATAAATAGGAACAAGCCAGCCTCAAATCATGAAGACTAACACTGACAACCTCTCATGGATACTACTGTTTATATCAATGTGGAAAAAGGCTGGTTGAGCATCAGAAGAAACTCTACAGAACCAGAGGAATGGGCCTGGTATCTGCAAGTATCTGAAAAGGCTACTGGCAGCTTTTATACTCCCCGTACTCACTGGCCATCCAGGATCTATCAGGTTATAATTCATATCTTTCAGAAAATCTCATGGGAATATATGGGAATTGTGTATTGGATTTTGCTTTTACTTTTTAGTATTACTATTAATTAAAGAACATTAGTCATACAGGTAGGTATATAGACTGAATCAGGATCAGGAGAACTGGAGTTCAAATCATGCTTCAGATGCTTATTAGCTGTGTGACTCTGGATAATTCACTTTATCTTTCTCAGCCTCAGTTTTTTTATCTGTAAAATGGTGATGGAATCGATTAAAGAGGATTGCTGCAAAGATCAGATGAGATAATATATGTAAAGTACTTTGTCAACCTTAAAGCGCTAAACAATTGTCAACTATTGTTATAATTAGTATTGTTATTATTGTAGCTATAACACAGACAAAAAGTTGAGGTCCAGGCCATGAACTCTAAGAAATTTGAGCTGGCAAATTAATCCTTTTCAATCGCTCCCTACTCTGTCCATCTTCTGGCTAGGCTTATCAATAGGCTTGCTGCCCATAGCAACGTGACTTGTTCTCCTCCTCCCCTCCCCTTTTACCCCCAACCATCACTGGTGAGGGTCCCTCCCCACTCCGCATGTTAGGAACACCCCAGGCTGCCTTCACTCCCTCCCTTTTCCCTGGCTGTGGATGCTCTTTATTCAAAATTTAGTTCTCCAAGGGCAGGGCCATCCTTGCTTTCATATTTAGATCCCCAGTGTGTAGTGCAGGGTTTGGAACAGAAAGATTGGGACTGAAGCTATGATTCCATTGGTATAGGGAGATCTCTCGGGAAGAAACATCTTTTGCAAATGCAGGTCAACACTTTTCTTCAACTTATAGCCATGAAGAATTGCCTAGGCTAGCCCAGGATCACACAGGCGGTATACGTAAGAGGCACAGAGTAAGCTTAATAAGAGTTCTCCCTCCCTCCCTCCCTCCCTCCCTTCCTTCCTTCCTTCCTTCCTTCCCTTCTTCCTTCCCTCCTTCCTTCCCTCTTACTTCCTTCCCTCTTACTTCCTTCCCTCTTTCCTCCCTTCCTTCCTTTCTGCCTGTCTTCCTCCCTTTCTTCTTCCCTCCCTCTCTCCATGCCTACCT